AGCAACTGAGTGTTTATTACATGTGGTCCCTGAGCTGGTTTCAGGGGTAGAGTGAGAAGACAAAGAGCCCTTTTGTTTATATCTCCTGGATGTGATACCAACACATCACAAAACAAATAAGTGATTTCAAGTTCAGGTCAGGGAGGTTGGATTGGCCGCCTGAGGGGGAGGCCTGGGTGTTCCCAGCACTGATTCTGATGGTTACTGCAAGTAATTTTTTCTGGAGTGAAAACAGATGAAGTATCCATTTCCTTTTACTCCCCAGACCAGCATTGTTCCCTGTGAGCTGAGGTTGCCTGAGAAGAAAGGATCTGAGCCCATGGTTGGTCTAAGAAACCACAGGCGCCTAGTAAGGCCCCTGGGCTGGAGGAGAGAATGAGGCTAAGGGTACAGACATACCCTGAATGACTCTGACCAGTGACTCATGGTCTGTGTGACTCTGCTTTAGTGACTGTATCTTCCTGTGCCTCAGTTTACCCTCAGTGAAGGAGGATGAATATTTGGCTGCCATGTTGTCAGTGTATTAGCTGTAAGATATTCACAGTATTGGACCTAAATCTTGGGATAAGGGAGCTGCTCAAATAAAAGGCACTTGTTATTGACCGACTCCATGAGAGAATCCCCTGGGCTGATCCCTGGTGTTCGAGGGGCTGCCAGGAGCATCTTTTCTTCTGTTTCTCTCTGGGATGCTGACCTTATTCTGGACTCTGCTATGACCCTCGGAACAGTCAGCTAATGATCCACTGTGGTGTAATTGGTGTTGATAAAGAGGATTCTCAAAAAAAACATGTAGGGACAGTATGTACAAGGAAATAGAAGGGTCCCCCTAATTGATGGGGACTACAATAATCACACTGCCTCAATGGTTCACCCCAAAGATTTAGCCCAAATCTATTAGCCCAAATTAATTAGCCCAAAATGCAACCAAGTGATCCCAATGTGACCCCATTGTGATCCCAATGTTAGGCACTGGGAAAGACTCAACACTGCTCATGTAGAGTATCGTCAAAAAGAAATGTAAATGACTCTCATCATATGGAAATGTACAAACCCAGTTTGTAAGATATTCCAGAAAAGAAATGGAATGTGGCTCTTGCCAGTGTAGTTCAATTGGTTGGAACATCAACTTGTACACCAAGAGGTTAGGAGTTTGATTCTCTGCCATGGCACATAACTAGGTTGCAGACTCCATCCCTGGTAGAGACATGTGTGGGAAGCAACCAATTGATCTATTTCTCTCATATTGATGTTTCTTCTCTCTCTCCCTTCCTCCATCCCTAAAATCAGTAATTTTTAAAAATTTATTTAATTATTGTTCAAGTACAGTTTTCTGACTTTTACTCCCATCCCAGCCAACACCCCCCAGTGCTCCCTACCTCCCTCCCCTTTCCACCCCTGTTAGTTTTTGTCCAAGTGTCCTTTATACTAGTTCCTGTGAATCCCTCCCCTTTTCCCCTGAAATTCCCTCCCCTCTCCCCTCTAGTCTCTGTCAGCCTGTTCTCTATTTCAGTGTCAGTAGATATTTTTTTAAATAAAAACATTTTAAAGTGGAATGTGACTCTCACAGGGAACAAAAGAATGGGAATGGTGGTGGATTGAAGGAGCCCACACAGGCAACATGGACCCATGAAAGCAGCGTGTTGCCTTGAATTGTCTTCCTGATCAAACACAAAATCAAGGTAACGGATGCTACTGGTATAGTGGAGGAAAATTGTAAATGGACTAGATATTTGACAGTATTGTATTAATGTAAATTACAGGGGTAAGACACCAGTCTTGTGGTTATATGGCATAAGGGTCTTACTCTTAAGGGGCTACTTGCTGAAGCACTCAGCAATGAGAGTCACAATGTCTACAACTTACTGTTAAAATTTAAAAATATTTAAAATTGTGTGAGGGAACAAATATAGCAAAATGTGAACAATTGGTGAATCTAAGGATATGAGCATCCTTCACCTTGGTAGATTAGAAATTTTTATAAATAAAAGCACCAGGGAACAAAGAAATAACACTTTAAAGAAAAGTGGAATTTCTTGACCCTCTATAGCCCTCCTGTGTGGACTGGGGCCTGTGTGGGGTCTCACTCAGGGCTTAGAGATGAGAAGACAGATGGGACCAGTCACTGCCCAGGAAGATTAGGGCAGTGACAGAAGTAAGGGCTGGACCTGGGGAAACCCCAAGGAGAGGTACTTGCTCCTTAAGTCACTGAGGGAGTCTCAGGGAGAAGTGTGTTTGCTGGAGAGAAGTGTGGGGGCAGCCCCATGGAAATGCCAAGCCAAGTGGCCAGTGAAGGAGGAGAAAGCACAATGAGTTTGCCAAAGTGTGAGCTGAGGGGCCCAGATCTGACTCTTCCTTGGCCACAGCCTGACCTAGAGGCCTTGGCTGGCTTCTTTCCCTCTGTTGGTGTCTGGATCCTCTTCTCTATAGAACAGGGAGTTGTTGCCATTGTTGCACCCAATGAAAAGGAAAGAAAGGAAAGAAAGCTGTCCTGGCAGTGCTGGGTGAATGCATTAGAGCTCTTAACTATGGCACTCTCTACAGTTGGTAATGTATGGTAGTGTTTGTCATTGTATTTCTGTTCTTGTGACGAAGTTGGTATTCCTAGAAATTCATAGATCCCTACACAGGTGTCATGGTTGGAAGCCGGCCCTTGGGGTCAAATCATTCCCAGCCCTGGAGTGGGTGCACCATGTCTTGCCCAGATGCTGTTGTTCAGCTGGCTTGGACAACACCTCACAGCTGACAACACCTCACAGCTGCCTCTTCTCTGCAGAGTTGACCTAACCCAGTGGGAGCCACTAACCACACACCCTTCACTCCCTCCACTTGGGGGCAGACCTTGGCCAATGGCTGACTGGAATGGGGTTGTAAAAGGATGGAGTTTTTCACAGCTGGTCCAGCTCTGTGGTGCCATGTGTGGGATCGAACTAAAGTGTGATTCCAGCCCAGACCCTCTGTCCTCAGTCTCCCTACCCTCCCAGCCTGCTTCCCTCACTCCCCTTCTCTTGAAAATGCTCCCTCAGGAAAGTGCTTGAAGAAGCAGTTCTATCTCAGGCTCTGCTTCTAGAACATTTATCTCAAAGGAAGCACTTCCTAGCGGTGTGTATTAGAATTACTAGTTGACACAACAAATACATCATCAAATTAAGTTGTTCTGTTTTAACATAATAGATATTTCTTCTCACTTGTAACATGTCTACTTGGTGGAGTATTTAGGGGGAGAGAGGTGTGCTCTGCTCTGCTCACACTCTCAGGTACTGAGGCTGATCGAGGATGTGCCATATGAGTGTGGCTACAAGGTCACCATTGATGGCCACATAGATGGGAGAAGAGTCACTCCTGCTTCTTAATCACTCATAATCAGAACTGACACCAGTCATTTCTACCCACATTCCACTGGTAGAAACTAGTCACATAGTCCACAGGAGAGGGAATCTGGGAAGTGTAGTCCTGAGCTGGTAGGTCATCACTTAGTAAGAGAGTTACACCATGAAGAGGGCAAAGATCTGTGGTGGGTAGGTGTCTCTGCCATACTCTGTAAACTTGAAGTTACGTTACTTTTCTGAAATTTAGTTTCTTTACCTAAATAACTGAGCAATTAATAGTGTCCCACTCCTACTTGTGAGCATGAATCAATGAGTTGAAATATATGAAGGGCTTGGATGAGGGCTTGGACAGAGTAGGGGCTCATATTAACTCTTTTTAATCATGTGTTGAGAATCCACTTTGGGTTATCTATCGATCATCCAGGATGTGCAGATAATCATTACAATCACCTTACAGAGGAGAAGGATGAAGTTCAGAGAAGGGTTCCACAGTTAGGGAGTGACTGGATCAGGCCAAGTAGCCAACAGAATTTCACACCAAGAACTGTCAGACTTTTTGCTTACGAGCCCCACACCCAGCCTTTGCATTTGCCATTAGAATGATGCAGGATCCCAGGAAGGTTGCCTTCATGTCCTGGCTTAGTCTACCTGGCTGAGCTCCTGCCAGTCTTTTCACTCCTGTCTTCTATCACTCTGTCTTTAGCCACAACAGTCCAGCCCTGCTTCCTTTCTAAACCTCACAAAATCCAAGTTTGATTCCACCTCAGGGCCTTTGCAAATGTTCTCCCCTCTGCCTTGAATATTCTTCCCACCTGTCTTTCCATGGCAGGCTCTTTACTTTTACTCTGCCTTCAGCTCAGTGTTCACCTCCTCAGGATGGCCCTCCCTGCTCCCAATTCGGTCACTTACTTTCGCATCACCTGCCCATCACCCAGGACCATCCAAGATTCTTTTGTGCTCATGTATTTGTTTGGTGTCTCTGTCTCTTGTTAGGCTGTGAGCTCAACAAAAGCAGGGAGACCTTCATTCTCATTGGTCTTCTTGTATCCCAAGCAACTGGGAAAGTACCTGGCACAAAGTTCAGTCTCAGTAAATATTTGTTTACTACAACAAGAAATAAATGGACAACCTGATAGCCTATGTGTCCCTTTACTCAACTTCTTTCCCCTTTTCCCTTCTGGGACGTAGAGGTTAGGGTGGAAAAACCACAGGGACCAGCCAAGACCAATCACTCATGTCCTCACAGGCAGTTGGGTCATTTTCCCACCTGGGGCCAGAAGGTGACCAGGTTGCCCTGAGAAATGAGGAAACTGCCTTCACAAACTACCCTGAAACAAGGTGGGGGTGGGGACCTGCACAGCTGGGCTCAGTAGAAAAGAGGGCTGGTGATCTGGACTAATGGAGGCTGGAGGTCAGGGTGCCTCCGTTTTTAACTGTTGAGCGGTCTGGGGTTTGGACTCTGGGGTCCAAGAGTAGAGGGATTCCTAGACTTCTGGGTCAGAGAGAGAAGGGGGCTGGGAGGCTGAACTCTTGGGTCATAAGGAAGAGGAAGGAATCAGGTTTCTCAGCCTTAAGCTGGTGAGATTAGGAAAGTGGGCCCAGGCCAACTTTGGCAAGGTCCTCCACTCCCCACCCTTTCCTGGCTGTCTTGGGTGAGGAGAGACATAAAAGGGCTCAGTTTCCTAGAAGAAAGAGTGGGAGCAAGAGAATTGTAGCAGCCTTGACCATGAGCCCTGCTGTGCTCCCAGCCCTCCTGGGCCTCACCCTTGTGCTGCCCCGTGAGTGAAGACCCCAGTTTGGGAGGGGATTTCCTGGGAGGATGGGCCAAAATGGATTTTCTGTTCTTATTTCAGGTGCTCAGGCCCTGACCTGTCAGTCAGGAAGGGCGGTGGCTGTGAGGAATGCAACAGAACTGCCCTTAGAGTGGACCGTTGGCGAGATGATCTGCAACGAGGGCTGGGGTTGCCAAGACACGGTGATGCTCCTTGAGAATGGTGAGAAGGGCCCCAAAGACCCCAAATGTGACCCACACCCTGACCTGTGCAGGAATCTCCCTCCTCCTGACCAGTCTTGCCTGTCTTCTGTGGACAGACTCAGGAGACCCCCTCCCTCATACCAGGAGCTGTTCCCTCTTCCTCAGCAGCCCAGGTGCCTCCCCAAGCCATGACACAGCCCTCTCTCTAGGACCCTGGGTTCCTGACCCTTACCCACCCCCTCCTCCGACATCCAGGACTCCAAGTGCTCCTAGTGCTCACCAAGGGATGTACCCAGGAGAAGGATCAAGAGGCCCATATCACCCAGCACCGGGAAGGCCCCGGCCTCTCCATTGTCTCCTACACCCGTGTGTGTCGCCACATGGATCTCTGCAATGACCTCTCCAGCACCGTCTCTCTCTGGAGCTTGCCAGCCCCTGTAGGTGAGACAGGAGGGAGAGCAGGAGGAGGAGAAGAGAGGAGGGAAGGAAGTTTTGGGGAGGAGGGAAGCACAGAGTGTTTGCTTAGACTTCTCCCGGTCACCTGGCCTGTCCACACTCCCCAGGTTCCCTCCTCTGGCCCAGCTTCCTTTCATAGTCCTGGGGCAGCAAACCAGACTGCACCTCAGACTCTGGTGATGGCCTGAACCTGGGCTGTGCTTCTTTTTTTATACTGTTGGGCTTGGTGCACTCATGTTTCATTTAGGGTTTTGGTATTTCCTGTTCCGAGGTAAGCTTGGCCTGTATCTTTCCATTGTCCTTGTCTGTATCCTAAACTGGGTTTGGGGTGATGTTCTGCCTACTCTTCCGTTTGGGGCATCCTGTTTGCTGGGACTGTGTAGTGAAGTTATGGGAAACTCTCCCTTGGTTCCTCCCAGGGTACTCCTCTGGGATCAATCCCCAATCCTTCTCCCAGATCTCATTACCCCCCACCTTGCTCTCTCCCCAACTGCATGACCCCAACTTCCTGCACCCCAGGCCTACATGAGAGAAACCTGAACTTAGCAAGTCTGGGGAGACTGAGGAGGTAGATTCCAGAGGCCAGAAAAGGAGGTAGGTAGAAGGTACCAGATCTAAAATCAGAGGCAGCTCAGTGTTCCCTCCCTCCCTTTCACCTCCTAGTTCCAGGGTTCATGCGGTGCCCAGTCTGCTTGTCTACAGAAGGCTGCGAATCTGCAACAGAAGTGACCTGCCCCATCAGTCACTCACACTGCTACAACGGGATCCTCAAGCTCAGGGGGGGTGAGTTGGGACATGGGGGTCCCTGTAGGCACTGAGGGCAGGGAGGCTGCTAAATCCTGGGACTTGGAGTGGGATGGCATGGCTTCCCAGGGTTGTATGGTCCCAGTGGTGGCATGTCACCCTGTCTCACTCTGCCTGGGCCCTTCCCACAGGGGGCATCAGCAGCACACTGAGAGTCCAGGGATGCATGTCCCAAGCAGCCTGCAACCTGCTCAATAAGACTCGAAAGATTGGTCCCTTGTCCCTGAGTGAAAAATGTGGTGTAAAAGGTGAGTCCCACACCTGGACTGTAATATTTTTCCCAGCCCCCAGCCTTGGAACACAATGACCCTTGTGAAAGCCCAGCATCCAACACATCCCACCAACACTAGTACCCAGAAGTAATTAAGCAGTTTATTCCTCACTCAGACAGTGTAATGTGAGGGATTGTGATGGTAGGTACTTTGGGGTGAGAATGCCAGTAGGAGGTATTTAGCTGAAGGGGAGAGAGGGGGAGGGTGGTCCAGGGGACAGATATAGGGCAGGAACTAACTGGTAGGTATTTTAATTGACACCAGATCTGGCCAACTAAGTGAGGGCAGACTCTCCACGTGCGAGGGAGTGGAGGGCAGGGAGAAAGGTCAAGTGGCACACAGGATTGGGTGCTTTGTATTCTGCTTTAATCCATGGATGCAGAAGTGAATGCAGAGTGCCTGGTTCTCATGCTGGGAGTGACTCATTGCCTTCAGTTCTATGTGCCCACATTCTTGACCTTGGGTAGCCCTGGTGTCTCAACTCTTCACGACCACCGTTCCTGCTTCATCCTCATCCAACCCCCACCAATGGTACTAGAGCCCCGCAGCAGCTGTGCTATACAGGAAGGAAGGTCAGAGAGAAAACTGAGGGTGCTTCAGGTGTGATAGAGACAGCAGGAGCCAAACAGGTACATTGAAAGTGTCCCCACTCACCCACACAATTGAAGCCGGACCATGCCCTAGGCAGACTCACAATGGTCTGGAGTGTCTCAGTGAGAAGCACAGGAAGCTGGGAGGGGAGTGGGGACTTAGCAGAGTGGGAAGAGGATCTTCACTGTCTGAACCTCAGTTTACACTACTGCCCATTGAAAAAGGCTTTAAAGCTTCAAGGAGAACATTGAGTGGGTTCAGCAAACAGTCGTCTGTGCTTGGATCCCTCTGGCTAGACTGGGAGCTTGGAGGACTTGGCCTGGATATTATGGACACCAAGATTTACAGCCTGAGGCAACATGAGGGCTAGCTCAGGATGAAAAGTGAGTTTGTGCAGGTTCCAAGGTCTTCTACAGAGATTGCAGAGGACTCAGACCCTGTCCCTGTCCTAAAGGGCATCCAGGACAAGGAGATGAGACATCACAAATGCAGATGGTCACAGAGCTGTGGTGAAGGGACCTAGGGGAGCTGTGAGCAGGGAAATAGTGATGTCTTGGGATGGGTGTCAAGGAGGTCTTCACAGAGGAGGTGTCCTTGAGTCTTGTCTTAAAGATTAGCTGCAGTTTATTAGTAGAAGAGGAAGAAGACATGAACAAGCAGAGGAAACAGCATGTGCATAGGCCTCGAGATGGGAATGAGCCAGCTGTTTTTCAGAAAGGGCTCCTCAGCTCTGTCTGAGAAGTTCTTGTCAAGAGGATGGGTAAAGCTGGGACTGGGGGGTGATTACCAGTTGTTCAAGTAGACAAAGTGGGTGTGGACAATCTCAGGAGAGCTATTCCAAGCAGAAGGATCAGTGGTGCAAAGCCAGGGAGGCTGGAATGACCTGGCGTATCTTGGGAATAAATATTGGTGTGGGAGTAGGGAGGGAGGTTTGGGGTCTGGTGCTGGTCAAGTATCCACGAAGCCCAGTGTAAGGGTTAGCCTTTCTGCTGCAGGCGAGGGAGCCATGGACAGGTCTTGTACATAGAAGGATGGTTTGAATCTCTCTTTCTGATTATGTTGTTTAATTGTCTGGTCCTCATCTCTGAGACTAGGTAACATTCACAATTCAGAAGGCATTCATAATTCTGAAACAAATCCAATGTAATCCATGGGGCATACTGTACCACACAGACATGTAGCACACAATACACACAACAGACATAACCAGACTCACCATGCTGCATTCATACCATAGCACTACACATATGCCCCCCTTACCGGTAACACACACCACAAACCTCATACACCACACACCGCACACGACAAAAAGTTGGCATAGCACACCACATGCCATACACACTACACAGAAACCAAAGACACACAAAACTGATATTATGCCACACATGTGCAACTACCACACACCACCTATATCATATACACATATTACATATCACATGTCACACATACTACACAAACCATACAACCATATCATATACATGTTACACACCCCATACACCCACCCACATATACTTCCCCACGCACCATACAAACAGTACACAAACCACACACATGCCACATAAAACAGCTACAATGCCACAGATGCCTATTCTTACACTTAAACTTATTCTGTTAGCTTTCAACATTGGAGTCAGATCTTAGGAGATGTGTTTGCCTTTCCTGGTTCGATTCAGTGCAGCAGTTTAACACACATTTATTGAGCAATGGATGGTAAGAACAGGCATCAGAAGCTGAGGTACAAGATGTCATGGATAGAGAAGACCATTCCAGGGTGACAGACAGCTCCCATAAAGGCCTGGGGCTGGGGGAAGGCTGGGTGCCAGAGCACAGGTTTCCTAAAACAGACCATGGCAGGAGCCCACTGAAGGAGAACCAAGAGCTGGAACGCGAATGGCCTTGAATGCTCCCTTTAGGAACTGGGTTGTGGTGCCAGTGAGGGCAGTGGGTCTGCACAGTCGGGAGGAGCACAGCAGTGAAGAGCCTAGGTCTCAATCAGGGAGATGTGGGTTCCCATCTGGGTTGTGCCACTGAACCAGCTTTGGAGGATCACCACCTCTGTGAGCCTCTTTCACCAGACTCAAGGAGGTGTGGGTGATTCCAGATATTTGGAAGCAGAGGAGCACATGTGAAGGCCCTGATGTGGGCAGGAGACTGCTCGGTGTTCAAGAAAGAGCTCAGAGGCCAGTGTGGCTCCAGAAGTGTGTTCAAAATAGAGCAGAGCAGGGCATGTGGACAGAGGGGCAGGGCCTTTGAGGCCATTTTTAGGACATAAAATTTTGTCCTGAGTGGGGCTGGGACCTACTGAAATTCTCTGAGCAGAGGAGTTACATGGATCAACTTACTTTTAATGGGGACTCTTCTGGCTTCTGAGTAAGAAATAGAGTAAATGGGAGGTGGGTGTGGGTGTGGGGATCCTGAGGGAGATTGAGGGTGAAGCAAGCCAGAGCCCACTGGGTCTCCAATGCTGCTGGAAGCAGCCGAGGTGGTTTGAAATGGCCAGGTTCCTGAGTTATCTGGCAGCTTAAGCCAACAGGATATCCTGGTGGGTACAACAGGGGGTATAAGACAGAGATTGTTAAGAAAGACAGCAATGTTCTGAACTTGAGCAACTGCAAGTCAGGAGCTGCTGTTGACCAACACCTGGAAGGTGGGGGAGGGGAGAGTGGGGACCAGGCTGGGAGGAGGGCAGCAGGAGCCATGATGTTGTGGTCTGTGAAGTGAGGAAATGAGTGGTCCTGCTTCATGAGGCTGCTGTGAAGGTTGCACATGTTGGTGGATGCTGTGTCATCAATCCAGGAGTTCCTGCATCATGTGACACATCCCTGCTGGTGATACAGTGGCTGTAAGTGAAGGTCTAGGCTCCTGGTATGTGTGTATGTATATATATATTTATATTTACATGTATACCTATATAAAATAGTTGCTCTGTTATACTCGTCCCAATTTTCCACCCTAGATCTCCTCTGCCCTGCCAACCCTCTGCCTACAATTAGTCGCCAGAATGTTGTCAATGTCCATGTGTCATTTATAACTGTTCTTTGAGTGGACCATTCCCCTTCATTCCTCCCTTGTCCCCCACCCCCTGGTTGCTGTCAGTTTGTTCCTTGTTTCTTTGACTTTGGTTCTATTTTGCTCATTGGTTTGTTTTGTTCATTAGATTCCTGTCATTGGTGAGACCATATAGTATTTATTTTTTCCCACATGGCTTATTTGACCTGGAATAATACTCTTTAGTTCTATCCATGTTGTAATGAAAGGTAGGAGTTTGTTCTATCTTTCTAATTGTTGTATTCCATTGTATAAATATACCACAGTTTATTGATTCACTCATTTACCGATGGGCATTTAGGCTGCTTCCAGCACTTGGCTATTGTAAATAACCCTGCTATGAACATAGGCGTGCATAGGTTCTTTTGAATTGGTGCTTCAGGATTCTTAGGGTATAATCCTAGGGAATTGCTGGGTCCAAAGGCAGTTCCATTTTTACTTTTTTGAGGAAATTTCATACTGTTTTCCACAATGGCTGCACCAGCCTACAATCCCACCAACAGTGCTCTAGAGTTCCCTTTTCTCCACATTCTCACCAGCACTTGATTGCTCATTTGTTGATGATAGTCATCAGTTCTAGATGAAGTGTTTTCAGTTTCAATCTGTCTGATGTCTAGTGATGCTGAGCATCCCTTCATATGCCGTGGGCCCTCTATGTCCTCCTTGGAGAAGAGTTTGTTCAGGTCCTTTGACCATTTTTTAAATTTGGATTGTGTGCCTTCCTGGTGTTGAGTAGTAGGAGTTCTTTATATATTTTGGAGATGAAAACCTTGTCCGAGGTATCATTGGAAAATGGGTTTTTCCATACAGTTTATTCCCTCTGCATTTTGATAATGTTTTCTTTAACCATGCAGAAGCTTTTAAATTTGATGTAGTCCCATTTGTTTATTCTTTCCTTTATTGTTCCTGCAATAGGGGATATATCAGTAAAAATATTACTGCATGGCATATCTGAAATTTTACTGCCTAAGTTTTCCTCTAGGACTTTTATGGTGTCATGGGTTATTCTGAGTTTATTCCATTTTGAGTTTATTCTGGTGTATGGTGTAAGTTGGTGGTCTACCAACTTACATTTTTCATTTTTTTGCAAGTATCATTTCAGTTCTCTCAACACCATTTGTTGAAGAGGCAATTTTTACTCCATTTTATGCTTTTGCCCCTTTGTCAAATATTAATTGATCATAGAGACATGGGTTTATTTCTAGGCTGTCTAATCTGTTCCATTGATCTATGTGTCTATTCTTATGCTGGTACCAGACTATTTTGATTACACTGGTCTTGTAGTATAGTTGATATCAGGTATTGTGATCACTCCTACTTTGTTCTTCTTTCCCAAG